CCACAAATTGGTATAAAATGGAGCAAAAACTGCTCAGATATGGAATAATGATGTTCTGAATCGTTTCATCGTACAGACAGTGAAGTGTTTTGGCAGCTTGTAGGTAGCTGCTGTCAGGAAGGAACTTTTATCACATCTGCAGTGGAGGACATCCTGCTCATTATTCATTCAGGCCAGTTTTCCAGTCGTCCAGTGATTCGTCACTTCAGTCATTCATTATCAGCTCTACTACTTCTTACCTCGACTGACACGATAAGCATAAAACAATTCAAGGCGGCCAAGAAAACAAAAAGTTAGTATTTAAAGTCCGAGGCAGCCCTCCCCCGTATCACAGCTCAGAGAGCCCAGTAATTGAAAAAGAGATTCTGCGAGCCGCTTCTCACAGATGGTGCATCACATTTCTGAGACAATAATAGGATTGTGAACCTCATTGTTCAATAGCTGCTGTCAGCCGCTGAAGCTCTGAAAGTGAAGCGGAGAGACGAGCTGCAGCGGCGGATCTCCGTTTCTTTGCCGTCTCTCGTGCTCGGGTCTGACTCAGGCCTCACGTGGCACCTTGACTCTGGCCTGATGGGAGCCAGCTCATCGCTAAGTCACACTCCCTAAGACGTGTGACTGTTCCAGCACTTTCAGCATAATGGTTGCCCTCTGACAGGCAAAATGAAGCCCGGAGAAAAGCCTCTCCGCAAGACAGGCCCCACTTAGATGTGGAGCAATTTTCAGGCTTCAAACGCCGGAGCGCAGCGTCTGATCAGCTGCCAGTCGCAGTGAAAAGCCCGGTTTCAGTGTTAGATCCATAAACCTCACAGCGGCCCGGTCACCCATTGACCAGCTCATGAGAGGAACGATCACATCTGTCCCTGTGAGCTGATGGCTGGAAATAACAGGATGATTCCATGAAACTCAAAGGATTTCACCTCAGCGCTGCAGCTTTTGGTTTTCTGATTCCTCTGCTCTGTCTTGTGTTGCACAACAACCACAACACTGGCCTCATGTAGTCATTCTGATTGATATAAATATTTTGGTGCTTCCGTATTTAGGAGGCGATATCCACTGCAGATATCACATTAAAATCTATGATATTTGGTGCAACGTAATCAAGAGCTGGTCCTTTAAGTGGCCCACGTTGTGTCGCAGCAGCAGTGTGATGCTTCACATCAGAAAATTATATCGTATAAATATTAACATAATATTGGTATGAAAACAAGTCGACCAGTTTTCTCTCCTTCGTGTCCAAATCTAGATGAAGAAGTTGTGATGCTACTCTCATGGTTAATGTTTAGCCGGAGTCATAAGCTGGTTAGCTTAGCTTAGCATAAACACTAGAAACAGCACCGCTAAGTCAACACCGTATCTCGTTTTCTCATCTCTTGTGTTTGTACTGGACTATTTCTTGCCTGAAGTGACAAAAAAAAAAAACAAGACACAAAACAATATTTAGTTAGCTTTAGCTTTTGTTACCTCCAGGCTGTTTCCTGTCTGTTTTACAAGCTAAGCTAGTAGGTAGCTTCATAGTTAGCATACAGCCATGAGTGTGATGCAGATATTTAACTTGGCCTGAGAGCGAAATGCATATTTTTCTTTTAGTGTAGCTGAATTTAAAAATACTCCTCAAGAGAACTGATCCAAGGACGGCAGTTCATCTCTTATTTACAGAATCTGTACAATGAAAATAAAAAGGTTTTGTTTAACCTTGTTAGCATGTCCACGTGGTGTAGATTTTACACAATTAAAGAAATCGGCAACGCTTTTGAAAACAAACTATATAAGTAGTACAGGAATAAACAACTAAATATTAAATACTGGACAAACTGAATGAACCAATCCCGTTAACTTGCAGGGTTCAGCATCGCTGTTCTTTCTCAGCATCAGCTTTTAGTTCAAACACATACGTCTGAACTACTCTAATCTGACCATTGAGGAGTGAAGAACACAGAGTCATAGGCGAGCTGGTGTGCTCGAGCAACTGTGTCACATCATTTTGAGGCATGAAAGGACTTTTTTTCATGGAATTAAACTCCTGGATATGTAACTGATCAATGGAGAAGGACTTTAGAAAACACATAAAACAGCTGTTTGATTCGACCGTGCACTAAAACGACGCTCACCCATTAAGTACGTGACAATCTTGCACATGGCGGCGCCGAAGATGAAGTCCTCCAGGATGTTGGGGATGAGGGTGAAGGGCATGCAGAAGATGGCCATCATCAGGTCGCTGACCGCCAGCGACAGCAGGAAGGAGTTGGTGACGGTCCGCATGCGCTTGTTCAGCATCAGGACCACGATGATCAGCAGGTTACCGAAGACGCTGAGCAGGAAGATGAGCGAGTAGAGCAGGATGCGCAGCGAGTCCATCTCTGACAGAGACACAGACGGACAGACGGCGTTATCGGTTATAGAAAGGAAGCATGTTGGCACAAGTGAATTACCAGGCACACACTGAATGAATGTTGTCTGTCCGCTCAAATAGAAGACATCCACTTGTTCCAATAAAATCTCTGAGCGAGTGTAGATGCTTTTTCTTTGAGGCATGAGAGCGGAAGAGATGTATAATGTTACCGGCAGCAGTGGTAAACAAGTGGAAGAACAAATAAAACACTCAAGATGAAGATCAGTGCGTTAATTGATTCAAACTACTAAATGAATCCCAAAACAACTTCTTCATCTGTATGCAAATAGCAGTACTTTTTTTTGGAGTCATTCCAGCAACTCCTATAGTAACTGACACGTGAAATAATAAAATGAAAAGACGCAGAAGAAAACAAAAGATAGCGACATGAATACATGAAGAGAACAGATTGAATCAGGTTGTTCATCTGGGAAATAAAGACTCTGAACGCATTAAACACCAGCAAAGTCTATTACGAGACACACTTGACATAATCAACATCTTAAATTGTTCTAGTGTCAATATGTTTCCTGTGAGCAAAAGCAATAATTGTAATAATGTGCGAGATAAAGATGAAGGCGGCCGACATCATCATCGGTGACTGCGTCAGGTGGTTCTCTTGGGAAGGCAACATAAAATGGAAAAACGAGATGAAAATCAGGCCATTTATTTTATTATCTGCATCACCGACATCCTTCTCTGGTGTTTTCATTCAAATAAGTTATTAAGTGATTGAAATAGTTTTTATAGAATCGAGCAGGACCAAAGGAGAGGCCACGGGTGGCACCAGGGCCCACTGGGATCTGGCCTCCCACCAGTCAGTAGACAGCTGGACATGTAGACAGTTGGATGATTAGTGTCATGGATGGTTACTGAGCAGGTTAACAGGCAGATTAAAGTGTTTTATGAAGTGACATGTCTACTCAGATGAAACAGAATTATTAAGAGATCCAAAAATAAATAAATAATCCAAAATATCAGAAAAAAGACTACAGAGACAAACATTTCTTCAAAAAACGACTTAAAAGATACAAAATATAAACAAAAAAGAGAAAATGAGTTCAGAGAGAAAAAAATGTAACAGACAAAAAATGTCAGCAAAAGATGCAAAATGACATAAAGAGATGAAAAATTCTGCAAATGATCCATGATTAAGAATTCAAAACAACTACAGACGGATACAAAACGACCACAAATAGCCACAAAATTATGCAAATGACAAAATTATCTGGAAAAAAAAGACAGAAATACGCAAAATTACTCCAAAAATATCATGTATGCTAAAAGACCACGAAGAGACACAAAATGTCGACAAAGAAGATGGAAATTTTCTGCAAAAAGATGCAAAATGACTTCAAAGAGACACAATTCCACAAATGATGTGAGACTGAGATGCAGGATACCTACAAATGCCAGCTACAAAGATACAAAAAGACTACAAAGATACAAAAAGACTACAAAGAGATACAAAAAGACTACTAATCAGACAAAAAGCAACAACAAAGAGCAGCAGGGAGAATACAAAAATGTGCAAAGTAGTCAGACAATACGACCACAAACTGGTGCAAAACAACCAGAATGTGATGCAACATGAGCACAGTGAGACCTGATTTTGTTTCACCTGACAAACACAGAATGGACCGGTCCTCTGCAGGAAGCGTTTCATAAGACTTCCTTCCTTCAGCGCTGCCATACAGCTGAGCATCAGGCGAGCAGGGCGGCCCGGCCACGGGGATTTTGGGATGCTCCCTTCACTCACACACTGACCTGTCACAGCGAGTCGGCTTGAGAATGAGACTATCTGACAGGACAAGGTCGTGGCCGGCCATGTGCAGCACTGACTGAGTCCTCTGATTAAAGACAGAGACATGGGAGAAGTCTAAAGGTCTGCAGCAGAGCCTGCAGACAGAGCGCCACACATCACCTTAGAGGCAAGCGCTGCTCATGAGGAGTGGAGGGAGGACACAAAGCCTCCATGTGGGCTTCAGAATGCATGTTCGTGCCACAGCGGACGCTGCGCCAAATAAACCGCCTCATAATGATTCAGTAGAAGGCTATTTTTATTTTCACAATTTTACCTCGTCCTCCCACTAGCTTGAATTTTAATGCTTGCAAAATTTCTAAAATAAATATTTGAAACATGATAATCACACAATACTGAGAGAATTTATCATTTGGTTTCTTGGTCTTGATACAAGATTAAAAAATGTGAGGGGCCACCTACTGCAGAATCCAGTTTATCATCGTTTTGAACTTAATACATCTCCCCAGTGTGTCTGAAACCCGTGAAATACGAGGAAACGTGGATCAGAGAGTGGGTCTGATTTGCTGTTACGTCTGTTTGAACTCAGCCCAACCAGTCGCAGCAGACGGCTGCCCAGCCTGAGCCCGGTTCTGCAGGAAGTAGTTCTTCTCGCCACTGTCTGCAACATGTTTAATCTAGTTTTCCATAAATATTAGCTTAAATTTTTAATTAGTCAGTTAATTCATAAAAGTGCATAATATTGTCGGTTCTTAACCTGAACATTAAAGGCATCGGGGGTCATCTGTGTTTTGTAGGTTTTTACCAGAAATTTTAAAATTCCTCCGCTACTTCTTTCACAAGCTTTCAACACTGCGGCTTAAATAATGACGCAGGTAGTTTATGGAGTTTTACATATTTGCCTCAAGACAAAAATGACATCGAGAGCGACAACGACAGAGAGACTGAGGAAGTGTGTGATGAAGTAGCTCTGAGGCTGAAGAAGACGACTTTAGTGGTTTAATGCAGGAGGAAGATGAAGATAGCGATCAGTGACTTCTCCTGGTAGCTGCTGTAGTTTTTATTTTCTTAACCGGCCGTGTTACAGGCGCTGTTTGGAAAAAAGCATTTGTGTTTGTTACCGGTACGTATTTAATTAAAAGTTTAAAAAATCTTTCTGCGTAAATATCTCCTGTTACAACGTGGACACCTGCAGCACAAAACTTGTTTCCTGTTGTAAAGTTAGTGGGTGTGGCTTATATTCAGGTGCTCAGTAGTCTGGAATTGACGGTAAATGAACCTTAACCTTAATATTTAAACTTGTTTGGTAATCTCACAGTTGCGATCTTATTTCTATGCTGGAAACCACTTTGGCTCAACAGCTTTCGAGCTTCTTTGTATTTCTTTAAAGTCCGTCACAGTCTTGAGTGTTGCTGAGCTCAGAGTACCGGTACCGCCGCAAGACAGGGAGGCTGACATTGTTATCTGAAATGACTAATTCAGTGTAAGATCCAAGCGGCTTGTCTTAATGTGTGATCCAAATCTTGAGCAAAACTTTCCAGTGTGTAGGCTGCTGTGAGGAGACGATGACTGTTGTTTCCAATAGTGAATGAATTGGCAGCACAATGCCGCAGCTACTGATGTAAGAACTTCAGTGATTTGGGTTATTATCAAGGAGAACGTGGAACATGTCTAGATATCAGCTCTGAAACTAAACTCTTAGGAGCTTTTTTTTGTTGTTGTCATTATATTTGTCCAAACAAATGTTCCTGTAGTGGAAATAGAAGAAAACTAGGTGGTCTGATCCTTCTTTCCATGACAGTATGTGAGTGGAGAGGATGTTGTATGTTGGTGTGTCAACCAGAGAGCTTCTGCCGCTGAATTATTCACGATATTATCACATGTGTATTATGAACAAGATCAGTCAGCTTTTCATCTCCTGAATATCATCGTTACTGCTACTATAAGGGGACACTCCTAATGGTATTAATACTTTATTAACTTGCATTAATACTGCGTGATAGAGTTGTGCCTTGTGAGTTTGTGCCGCATGTGTAGCGTGATAAGAAACGTTTTATCTGATGCTGTTTGTACGTTCCAGCCTCACATGTAATTGGTTTTACAACTTGCAGAGCTAATCTACATTAATGTTATCGAAGGTAAATAGGAAAGTGAAATGGCATTTTTCCCTTTCAGAAAAAAAATGCAGTTTGTCTGAAATACAGATAAAACTGTTGAGGAAGCGTTTGAGGCCAAAGCCAATATCAAAGTGAAGTTTCACTTTTCCTGGGTAAACTCTAGAGGAAGCAAACACTGATGATAGCATCGGGCCGAGCTGTGGATTAGGAGCGGCAACGCTGCAGGCTGCATGCTAACCACCTCGGCAGCCTGAGAAAAACCCTCGACTGCAAATATGAGTGATTGTTTTGAAACCCTCTGATGGCATTTTGAGTTTCGTCCGCTGACGACTGACATCGTGGCCGAGCTCATGTAAGAAACATCTGCTGCGTTCCAGTCGCTGAAAGATGCAACCGACGAGAGTTGGAACTCCACAGTGGAGGCACGTGAGCCATACACAATCAGGCTGCCTGGTGGGAATCCCAGCACCAACACCGAGCAGGGAGCTCCCACTGGCTCGGCAGCCGCTATTGTGTTGGAGTTTTTGTAGTCAAGTAGCCGAGTGAAAATGGAATTATCTATTCATTGAGCACCAGCGGCATGTCGGCTCCCCCGACCCTAATGACTGCAGGACAATTCGCTTTGCTTCCTTCGACTCCCTCAAGCATGACAGCTGCGTTCGAATCCACGGGAATCTATAAATACATCACAGATAAAGGATGCCGTTCACCTCTGAGATGCACATATACAGCAGCAGCAGCAGCAGTTGTTGATGTGGAACGTTTCAGACGTGAACCAGAGCCCAGAGATCGGCACAGCGTCTGTTAATTTAACCCTTGCTCGCTCTGTTTGGCTGCCGCATTGCAAACAGTGATTGTGTTTCTCCACAGGGTTCATTGAAGTTTCAGCACATCACTTCACTTTGCCTTATCTGTAGAATGAGCACAACTTCACAGGCACAGCAGGCCGTTTGGAAGCGCTGTCAGTTACCCGGCGCTGTGGAGCAAAAAGGGGGCTGGATCTCATCATGAATAAACCACAAAGATCAAAAATAATAATCAGTAATGAACTCAGAGGTGATATTTCAGAAATAGAGCTGCACTTCTGAA